ATGCTGCGCCAGTCGCCCGTCATGAAGCTGCCTCTTGGCAAGTACAGAGCGAAGAAGATCACCACGAAATTCTCCAACACGTTCAGAGTAGATTAGTTTAATTAATATACTAAAAGCAATAATGCCATAGAGTGACTTATTGATATACTGACCATAACATCACAAGACTTCGGGTCTAAGACCTGAAGCCCTAAAGCCCCAAACCCGTGATGAGACGAGATGCATAGCCTTGCGACGCTTTCCTGTGGCTAGCTGCCCGGCAAACAAGCCCTAACCGCTAAACCAGGGTTCCCCAGTATCTAAGGTTGGAACAACGGGCCAGTGGTGTGGTTCCTCACCCTTTTGTAGGGGTTATATAACAGGGGACCCAAATTGAGAGAAATGGCCCAGAGACCTCGCCAGCCTTGTGCGAGAGTGAGCGTCGAAACCCCATCGCGCACGCCGCACGCGGCGCGGCCCTTAGATCATGTAGCAGAAGCTCTAAACCCTAGACCCTAAACCCCAAACCCCGAACCCCAAACCCTGAACCCTAAACCCCAAACTCCCCCAAACCCCCTACTCCCAACCTGCCCATACCAGGCTCCTGGCAGGTATTGCTGGGGCCTTCCAGGCGATGGACCAGGATTTGTCTCTCCCCCAGTCCCTGTGGCTCAGCTGCTCTTAGGTTTAGGGTTTAGGGTTTAGGGCTTAGGGTTTAGGGTTTAGGGTTTGGGGTCCCCGAACCTTAAACTGAACTTGGGTTTACACCCTCTTCCCCCCCCTCCCCAAGTGCCTTAGCCACACCGTTCCTCTGGGAGAAGAGTCGTTGCTACCCAACAGCTCCCTGAACTGTTGAGGTCTTGGGTTTCTTAGTCTCTTGCTGTACAAAACAGGAGTCTCCCCAAACCCTAAACCCTAATCCCTAAACCCGAAGCCCTACACCCTAAACCCTACACCCTAAACCCTAAACCCTAAACCCTAAACCTTGGCCTTGTGCGAGTGTGAGAGCCGAAGCCCTAAACAAAAGAGGGCACGGGCTTTCGGGCATCCAGTTTGACAAGCAATGTTTGGGTTCTCGGTTGTTATGGATTAGTGGTTAAATCTAAGGGTTGTTGGTTGAATTTAACAGTTTTTTTTTGAAGTTAGGGAGCGTTGCTTAGCTGTAGGGGTTATTGGTTGCTGGGGGGAGACCCTAAATCCTACAGACCCCAAACCTTAAGCCCTAAATTGTAAACCTTAAAGCCAAAACCTTAAACCTTAAGCACCTCAAACCCTAAACCTTATAAGCCCGAAACCTTTAACCTTAAACAACTTAAACCCTAAACCTTAAACACCTTGAACCCTAAACCTTAAACAACTTAAACCTTAACCCCTAAACCTTATAAACCGTAGACCTTAAGCACCCTTACAAACCTTAAGCTAAACCTTAAACCGCAGACCTTAAACACTGCAAACCTTAAAATCCTAATCCTTAAAAACCTAAAACTTAAACTACTCTTAGACCGTAACCCTAAACCCTTGAACCCTAGAGCTTAAACACCTTCAACCTTTAACCCTAAACCGCCTAAACCTTATCCCCTTATCCTTCAACCCTAAACCTTATAAGCCGGAAACCTTGAGCCTTAAGCAACTTCAACCCTAAACCTTAAACACCTTGAACCCTAAACCTTAAACACATCAAACGTGAACCCCTAAGCTTGAAAAACCTTAAACCCTAAACCTTTTAAACCTTAAGCCCTAAACCTTTTAACGCCTTAAAACCGCGAACCCTACTCCTCAAATACCTTAAACCTGAACCCCTAAACCTTATAAACCCTAAACCATAAACCTTGTAAACCTTAAGCCCTAAAGCTTAAACACCTTAGCCCTTAAACCCTAGGGAGACAAAGGGAGGAACCCGGCAACAGTCCTCAGAATGTCGGCTCCTTAAATGATTTGAGAACCCCAACAGTAGACTGTTTGGGGAATAATAAAGAATCAAAACTAGACATATAGAGAGAGAGTACATACATTTCGAATAACCCAAAACCCTGCACCTCCAAAACAGCCAAGGAGTAACATCACCTGGTCCTTGGCCACGCTGCTCGGCTCCCAAGTATCCTTACGGCAGGGGCCCTGTGCGGGCTTAGGGTTGGGGTTTGGGGTACCTTAGGGTTTAGGGTTTAGGTTTAGGGTTTAGGTTTAGGGTTTAGGGTTTAGGGTTTAGGTTTAGGGTTTAGGGTTAGGGTTTAGCGTTTAGGTTTAGGGTTTAGGGTTTAAATAGTCCTTTTCGGGCAAGGTACCCTTTCGTTCCTCGGGTGTGGGGAGCATCAAAAGCCCCACGCAAGGCTCCGCATCGTCGACTTCCGCGTGCTCGAGCTTGCAGGCACTTTAGCCGTGACCAACATGAAGGACCGGTTTAGGGTTCAGGGTTTAGGGTTGGGTTTAGGGTTATTACAATCCCTATTAAGGGCTGTTAGTATAAGGGGACCGGTTCGCTTAGGGTTTAGGGGAGTTAGGATATTAGGGGTACCTTATTGGGGTCCTCATTATAAGAGATCCCTACTATTTAAGGGGACTAAATTAGGGTCCCCTCTTGAAACCCCAACATGAAGGACATGTTCGCTTGAAGTTTCCCCCTTCTATTAGCGCTCCTTAACCCTGTGAAGGGTATAGGGTTGGGGTTGGGGGTTTAGATTTAAGGTTTAGGCTTTAGGGTTTAGGGCAGAAGGACTTCAGGGTGTAGGGTAGGGCCCCCTCAATGTCCTGAAGCCCTCACTGAAACCTCGCAACTCTCAATCCTCTTAAAGCCCCGAAATCCCCCAACTCAATCCTAGACCCACTTCCACCGCCTGTTTAGGGCTTAGGGTTTAGGGTTGAGGGCCCCGTGGGAGGACCCAAAAAGTAGAACCCCCCAAATCGTACCCTGCACTACTATTGGGTCATTTTTAGGAACCCTTAAAGGGGATCTACTTTGTTTGGATCCTCCCAGGGCCGGGGCATAGATGCAAGCCTCTGCGGGGACGTAAAAGCTTTCCCGAAATCCTTAAGTCCTAAACCCTAAACCCCATAACCCTAAACCCTAAATCCCGCAACCCTAAACCCTACAACCCTAAACCCCACAACCCTAAATCCTCGAGGACTTTAAAGCTTTCGAGCTCGCCTCACTTCTCTGGTCCTTTGCCAAGCTCGGGACGGCAGAGACTATGGCACCTGTAGAGACCCGGCGTGGGATTAGGGTTGAGGGGTTTAGGGGTTGAGGGGTTTAGGGGTTGAGGGGTTTAGGGGTTGAGGGGTTTAGGGGTTTAGGGGTTTAGGGGCTTAGGGTTTGGGGTTTGGGGTTTAGGGTTTTAGGGGTTTCGGGGCTTAGGGTTTCATATGTGTTCTCTAGTTTTCTGGTCGGACAGTGTGGCTTGCATTCCCAGCCGACTCCCCAAGCCCGGATGCCAAAAGGGTTTAGGGTATAGGGTTTAGGGGTTTGAGGTTGGGATGCTCCAGGACTCCGCTTATACCTAACAGTCCTTAGTAGGCATGAGAATGGGGTACTATAATCCCTATGAAGGACTGTTTGTATTAAGGGGGAACGTCCCAAGTATGAAGGGTTTAGGGTTTCGGGCCCTGGGGTTGGGGTGTAGGGGGGATTTGGCGTTGGGCAAGGGCGCACTTGGCTTTTGTTTCTTTCTCGCTTTTGCTGTTGTGGGGGCGCGCAGCCTTCAGTCCAGTTCTGGCTTTGGGTTTAGCATGGGCCCTGTTGAAGTGCCTAGATTTTCAGCGATCAAGAAACAAAGGCCCCGAAACCCACGTAAAGCTTGCCAACTCAAAGCGAGATGGCGGCGCAAGACATCCCTGCAGCTGAAATCCCCAAAGTCGACATCCCGAACGAAAGCCCCAAGCCCTAAACCCTCGCACCAAGCACCCACCAGCCTTGAACAACAACTCCCCCACCTGCAAGCACTAAGAAGCCTATGAAATCATTGCGGCCCCGAAGCCCAAACTCCTGAACCCCGATCCCCTCCCCGAAAAAGAGGAGAGGAAGCCTTGCATGTGAGAGATTTCCTAGGTTGGACCCCTCTTTCGGGCCGCCACCGGCCGCCTTATGCCCTTCGGCATTCTTTTCTTGGCTTTGAAACGGCTCAGGGCTGAGGGTCTAGAGTGTGTTGCAAGAGCTTTAAGGGGATTTCGCACCTCCCCCGGAAGCCCCGCCAAAGAATATAGCCCCCCAGCTCTGTCAAATTACATCACATGGCCCGTACTGTTTGGCGGATGAAGGTGAGTTTCATTTCGCAGTGGTGGTTCTTGAACCATGAGCCTGCAAGCATCTGCAGTAGAAAGATGAGGCTTCAGACTTCGTGGTTGACAGTAAGGTTTTGGTCTCATAGGCTGAGCCCCAGTGGCCTGTTCGGAGCTCCATTCCGACACGGCCCATGCCGCGTGCACCCGAAAAGAGGCCGGCAAGTGTCTCTTGCAAGTAGGGTTTAGGCTTAGGGTTTAGGGTTTAGGGTTTAGGGTTTAGGCCAGACTCCTTAAGCTTGAACTTTTACCAGGGTTTAAGGTATCTAGGGGGGGGTATAATCAGAACCTCACAGGTGCTGAACCGTGTAACCCCCCCCGAAGCATTACCTACCATTTGCTTAAGAACCCCAAAAGAGCAAAATTCTACGAATCCCTATTTTACCCTTAGTAAGGAAGAACTTCTTTATTTTTTCGCGGTTCTTAAGCAACTAGTAGTTGCTGCACAACCCCTAAACCCCAAACCCTAAACCCTAATCCCTAAACCCTAAACCCTAAACCTCGAGGTCTTGCGTGCCTGGTGCCGGCTTCCGAAGCCTTGCCACAGCGGCGTGGGCTTTTGCCACGGCCAAGCAGGCCGAGAGCAAAGGGTTTAGGGTTTGGGGTTTAGGGTTTAGGGTTTAGGGTTTCGGGTGTAGGGCTTAGGGTTTAGGGTCGTCTTCTTGATGAATACGAATCAACTACCAATCGCTTCAACTCAAGATGTAACGGTTACGAACTGGGGGTTTCCGATAATACTACCTTTTTTTTTTTGGGGGGGGGGGGGTTCCTAAAGTAAGGATTATACTCTTTTTTTTGGGGGGGGGGGGGGGGGGCGGGGTATATGACCCTTCTGGGGGGGGTTCCTATAATATGGATTATACTTTTTTGGGGGGTATATGAAGGGTACTCCTATTTGGGGACATGCCCAAATGGCAACTTCTTAGGGCTCCGGGAGGGGCCAGTGAGGGTGGGGAGGGTAGGGGTGGGAGGGGTTTAGGGATTGTACACGGGACCCTGAATCCTGAACCCCACCCAAAAAAGCCGAACCCCACTGTTCCGAAAGTCTGGGTCTTGACCCCAAGCCTCAACTCGCCAGGCGAGTCAGCGCCTCTTCCGGGCGATTGCCAAAGAGGTGCAGACATGCCTGCCCACAGCGAACAGCCAGGACTCACAGATTGTTTTGTTTGGCTTTCGGCACAAGGGGGTGGGTCAAAGAAGCAAAGGCCGATTGAAGTGGTTTCGTTGAACAACAGCAACAAAGAGAAAAGAGAAAAGCCTCATGGGCGCATGTAGACAATTTGTTCAGCCCAACAGGAACTGGCCAACATCGATCCTTCATTGCAGCCAGCAATGCTTCCAAGTTGTTTTGTGCTGAGTATCTTGCTTTCTGGTGGTATTCTTCCCGAAGCCCTACCCTTAAGGCCTAAACCCCTAAACCCTACACCCAAAAAAACCCTACAACCCTAAAACCCTAAAGCCTTAAAACCCTAAAACCCCAAAACCCTAAAACCCTAAACCCCTAAAATCCTAAAGCCCCTAAACCCCTAAACCCCTAAGCCTAGGCCAAACTCCAGGTCTGGGGCACAACCCCTAAACCCTAGACCCTACAACCCTAAAACGCTAAAACCCTAAACCCCTAAGCCAGCCAAACTCCAGGTCTGGGCCTAACCCTACACCCCTAAACCCTAAACCCTAAAACCCCTAAAAACACTCAAACCCTAAACCCCTAAACCCCTAAACCCCTAAGCCAAAGTCCAGGTCTGGGCCTAACCCTACACCCCTAAACCCTAAACCCTAAACCCTAAACCCTAAACCCTAAACCCTAAATAAACCCCAAACCCCAAACCCCAAACCCTACCTCGGAGTTCTATCGGCCCCCCTAAGCCTAAGCCAATCTCCAGGTCTGGGCCTACGGCACCGTAGGGCACCGCGATGACCAGCTCTTCAAGATGATCGCGGCAGAGTGCGTGCCGCGCCTTGAGGAGTTCAAGACCCAGGAGATGGTCTAGCTGTTCAGGGTTTCGGGTTTAGGGTTTTGGGTTTTGGGTTTGGGGTGTGGGGTTTGGGGTTTAGGGTTTGGGGTTTGGGGTTTTGGGTTACTTTGTCATAGTTGGCTAGCATTTGCATTTTTTCAGGGTACTTAAACCCAAGAAGGAATAGAAATTTAAAGTTTTTAATACTATCCCAACCAGGAACTAGTTTAGGGTTTAGGGTTTAGGCAAAAAGGGGTTTAGGACTTATAGGGCTAAATGGGGTCTCCAAGCCGCGAATCAAAATGCTTGCTTCTCCATCTGCTTGCCCATGTCGATCCGCATCTTTTTTGTTTATCCTATCTTTTCATTTTGCAGCTCTCCTTTTCCAGCCCTCGGTGTGTTGCTTTTTGTTTGTCATTGGCCGTGTGTAGATGTTTATCTATGTCATATCTGGTTCTTTCTACCTCGTCTTTAGGTGGCTCTTTCTCTCTCTCTCTCTCCTATTTGCTGTCGAAATATATGTATCTCTCTCGCTCTCTCTCGCTCTCTCTTTCTGTCTATCTGCCTGCTTGTCTTTCTATTATCCGTGCGCTCTGTCTGTCTCTACTAAATGAAAATGTACAGCTGTTTGAATCTTGTATTTCTCTCCAGCCACCCTTTGTGGATGTATCAAAACTAAGATTTGCTCATGAATCTGTCGGTCGATCTTTTCACCAGCTCGCTCTGAATGTCTCTCTCTCTCTCTCTCCATCTCACTCTGCTGCGCTGTCGATCTATGCACTGTACCTGTCTATCACTATCTTTGTGTGCGTCCTGTTCCTATCCCTACATTCTCTCTCGCTCTCTCTCACTCTCCTTCTCTCTCTCTCTCTCTCTCCCTCTTCCTCCTAGGTTTGTCTATAAGTACCGATCTATCTATCGGTGTGTCTCCCGCTTTCCCGGCGCTGTCTCTCTGCCGGTCTGCTCTCTCTACCTCCCCCTCGCGCGGCACAGGCAGACAGTGAGATAGGCAGGTATATCCATCGACGCATATCCCTTATGAGCCCTTATGCCTGTACCTATAAGAATAAACAAACACATATACCCACATCATATCTTCTGATATCTGGGCCCCAGCGCAACCACTCAAACGGGGGAAGAGCACCAGCACCTGCACGACTTGGTAGCCCAGTGACACCCTTGACCCTTATTCTTTTTTGGGTTCTGGGTTCCCTTTACAAAGTAACCAACCCAAAAAAAGAGGGTGCCCTTAGTATGATATGGTACTTGGGCTACCAAGAAGAGCAAGCAAACTCTGTTCGCATGCCTTTGGTAGCAGCTCCTGCCTTGCAGGAGCTCTCCAACACCTTCTGGGGCTTTGCAAGCAATGACTTCTACCATGAAGCATTCTTCCACAAGGCCCGACCCGTTTAGGGTTTAGGGTTTAGGGTTTAGGGTTTAGGGTTTAGGGTTTAGGGTTTAGGGTTTAGGGTTTAGGGTTTAGGGTTTAGGGGGAGAGAAGCCGCCCTCTTGTAGCAGAAAGCGCCCGATGTGCAGACCGCTGCTTGACCTGCTTTGAATCCCCGAAGGCCTTGATCCTCGCAAGGGGGATGCAGCTGCAGCCACAGCACGTAGCCAACATCCTATGGGCTGCTAGTAGTAGGCCTTTGGGACATTTTTATATTTTCTCTTCTTGGCTTTAAGAGGATCATCTTCAGGAATATTTTTTCAGAGGGTTTTTAAGGGCCATCCGAGGCTGCTGCCAGACTGCAGCGGAAGCACCCGGCAGCCAAACAAGCTGTTGCTTGGGTGGTTTGGAGAAGTTTTCGTAGCGAGTACATGTTTCAGTTTGCGTGTAAGGAAATCATAAGGACATGAAGAGCTACCCCTTCTTGGCCGGGCACAGATGTGAATTTTTTCGGTAGTAGGCGACCGAAACCGGACGCACAAGCCCTTCAAGAACCTATTTGTTTAGGGTTTAGGGTTTAGGGTTTAGGGTTTAGGGTTTAGGGTTTAGGGTTTAGGGTTTAGGGTTTAGGGTTTAGGGTTTAGCGTTTAGGTTGCGCACCCGAGGCTATGGACATGATTCCGGGCTGCCTGCCCTTTATCACATCTTTCAAACCTCAGGAGGTGGCCTCCACGGCCCACGCTGTAGCGAAAATCTTTTCCGCCGAGGCAGACGCGTACGATCTCTCTGCGCCACCTCAGATTCCTTTGCAACTAGGATGCCCCTTATTCCCTTTTTTTGGGGGCTAGGTTCCCTTATAAACCCCTTTTAAGCAAAAAAGGGTACCCTTACTTAGCCAATAGTTGAACTTTAAACTTTTTGGGTGTCCTTATCTAAATTTAGTAGGAATAGTAAAGTATAACCTTTTTTATTTCCCTTGGCTCTTGGCGAAGTAAGGCAAATCTCCATGTTTTTTAGCGCCATTACGCCCTGGTGCCAAGAGCACATCACCATGTTCTCCGACCAGTCTTTAGCAAACATCGTCTCTTCTTTTGGCATGCTACGAATCCATCTCCACCCCTCGCTACTGGCTGTTGTGGAGCAGCAAGTTCTGGCCAGACTGAAGGCATCCGACCATGCTGCGCTCGTGGTGTCTTAGGAGTAGGTGGAAATAATTTCTTTTTTTTGGTACTATGAATTCTTCAGAAACAGCAAAAAGTATTTTTAATTTTTGGGATACTATGAATTCCTAAGAAACAGCAAAGTTCTTAATAATTGCTGGGGTGCCAAGTTCAGTATAGGTGTTCTTCCGAGCCGCAGTCCAGTGCCCGCAGTTGGAGCGTCTACGGGCCCAGCTGGCCACCACAGTAGCCTCGGAGTTGGGGAACTTCAAGAGCAAGGAACTCCGTTCCCTGGCCTTCACGCGATCAGTGAAGCTGGGCATAGTGCATCAAGACGCAGATCCCAATGTGGAGGACCTCCTGAGATGCTTGGTAGCCCACTGGTACCCTTTTCCCTTTTTTGGGTTCAGGGGTTCCCTTTATAAAGTAACCAACCCCCCAAACAAGGGGTGCCCTTAAACGAATCTAGGCCCTAAACCCTAAACCCTAAACCCTAAACCCCTGTATGTTTACTGGGCTAGCAAGGATGGTGCCTCGAGATGACGCAGCCCATCCAGGCCCAGTCCATCCAGCCCCTCCAGCCGATCCAGTCCCGACAGCAGGAGCAAGAGGATTTGGCTACTAGGCAGGCCCTTTTGGGACCTTGTTTTTTTTTTTTTTCCTGCCTTGTTGGGCTTAAAGGGGTCATATTCAGGAATATCCCTAAACCCGAAACCCTAAACCCTAAACCCTAAACCCTAGGGGCCATCCTAGGCGAAGAAGGCGGCCATCAATGCATGTGCGCAAGCGAGTCTGGAGATGCGCTTGCAGGGGCAGCTGCAGCAGGAGTTGCTTTGGCTGCGGCTGCGGCTCCATTAAGCAGCCGTTTGCTAGGTAAAACCTATGAAGCCCTATAAAACTCTACAAACCCTGTAAACCCCAACCCTATAAAACCTTTATTTTAAAACCCTCTAAACCCTGTAGGCCCTTGGGACATTTTTTTACGGGTTTAAGGGGCTCATCTTCAGGAATGGTTTTTTATTTTCAGAGGGTTTTAAGAGCCAGCCGCTACACCAGACTACGTTTGTGTCAGAGGTTTTTCGCGTGCCAACCTATTCCCTCTGAGCCATCTGGAAATCCCAGAAGGCCATAATCGCTCTTGCGGTATGCCCAAATCCCTAACCCTAAACCCTGCAAATTCTTAAACCCTGAAACCTTCAATGTGGCCATCCTCAAGTAAGACCCTAAACTCTAAAGCTGTCAACAGCACAGAGCCCAAGACCGAGGCAGCAAGCGCAGGCACAAGCACAGGCCCAAGCAGCGCGAGCTGCAGCGCAGGCGACCCGATGCGTTCGACTTGCTTAGGGTTTTAGAGGGTTCAGGGGAGGTTTAGAGGTTTTTCAGAGGGTGTTAGGGGGTTTTAGAGGGCTTTAGAAGGTTTTAAGGGTTTAGAGGGGTTTAGAGGGTTTGTAGGGTTTAGGGCTTAGAGGGTTTTGAAGGTTTTTATACGGTTGGGGTTTATAGGGTTGTAAAAGGTTTATAGGGTTTGCAGAGTTTTATAGGGTTTTAAAGGTTTTACAGGGTTTAGGGAGGGCTTTGTAGGGTTTAACGTGGTTTGTAGGGTGTGTAGGGTTTATAGGGTTTGTAGTGTTTGTAGGGTTTAGGGTGTAATGCTGCTCCACAAAAGGGGTTATGAGATAAGGTTCCCGCTTCAAAAGGGTTTTGGGGCCTAGGGCGAGGATATCTGCAGGCCTACTGACAAAAAGCTTAGAGCAACAATTGCTCGAACTAATGGGGGCCCTAAACCCTAAACCCTAAACCCTAAACCCAGCTGCCTACTAAGACCCCCTAGAGAGGCCAGATGCAGGGCCAACGGGGCGCGGGACGTAGGATGCCCTTTGCCGAGGGTATATAATGAGGTCTCAGGCGTTTAGGCTAAGACGGGCCACATGGATTCTTATTAACCCTAAAGCCTAAGCCTTAAACTTAAAGAAAAACCCCTAAACCCTAAACCCTAAACCTTAAACTTAAAAAGAACAAAACGAGAAGTGCACCCGCGTGAGTCCCAAAGCCTGATTACCACCAACTGCGGCCCTAAACATACTAAGCCCCGAAGCCCCTTGTCAACACCCTAAACCCCCCCCCCACCCGTGCTCCAAGCCCCTGCAACCCCCTATATAAAGTCTCCAAACAAACTTCCGAAACCTCAACTCCTGAACCTCACAACCCCCTACGCCCTAAACAATAAACCCTAAACCCTAAACCCTAAACCCTAAACCCTAAACCCTAAACCCTGAACCCTAAACCCTAAACCCTAAACCCTAAACCCTAACCTCTAAACTCTAAACCCTAACCCTAAACCCTAAACCCTAAACCCTAATCCCCTGCCCGCCCGTCCCAAAAACAGAAAGTAAGAACCCCCAGCTGTCAGCAGGCTGCGGCTGCCCAGGCCGCGGCAGCGGAGAGGGGCATGATGCTACTGGGGCGGCTTAGGGGTTTAGGGTTTAGGGTTTAGGGTTTAGGGTTCAGGGTTTGGGGTTTAGGGTTTGGGGTCTGGGGTGGAGGGTTCAGGGTTCAGGGTTCAGGGTTTAGGCTAGGCTCTAAGCCATGGTCCCTTGGATTAGCTGTCATATGGCAGCCCCCAACACGTAGGGTACCCAAAGAGGGACCATCATTTTCAGAACTGATCGTTGAGACTTGGAATGATTCTTGGGTTTGGGCTTTGTCTTCGCCTAAACGAGGGTTTAGGGTTTGGGGTTTGGGGTTTGGGTTTGGGGTTTGGGGTTTGGGGTTTGGGCTTCAACTGCAAGAGAAACCTAATACCCTGAAGTGGAAGTGGCCACAGCAGTTCAGTGTATTGAGTCCCCCTGTTTTTGAAGTTTAGGGTTTCGGGCTTTGCTGGCTGGCTCTTAGTAGGGAATGAGGTACCCGATATCCTCCCTTAAAAGGTATATATATATATATATATTATACACACACACATATATATATATATATGGTACCTCATTCCCTCATGTCCTACTAAGAGCCAGGGGGTTTAGGGGCTTCAGGGCTGGGGTTGTGCGATCCGGGTCCGCAAGAGCCAACTTCCGCGCTGTAAGTCGAGGTTTGGGGCTCAGGCTCCGGATGTAGGGTTTAGGGTTTAGGGTTTAGGGTCTACGGTTTAGGGTTTAGAGGTTAGCCAGAACCTGCCGTGGAAATGTTCGACCTTTGTGGTTTCCGAAATTGAGGCACTTTCTTGGGGTCCCCATTAGAAGGGAATCCTACTACTTGGTGGCTCTATTTTAGGGTCCCCTACTTGGAGGTTCATGGTACTTATTCACCACTTAGAACTGTACTTATAACCCACTCATAAGCCCCTCAAGTGCCCTAATATGGTTAGAAGTACGGTTATCAGTACAGTTATCATTGGTTAGCAAGTACCATGAACCTCCAAATCTTCATAATCCCCATCATGTGTTTGTGCTTGGCATCGCATCCAAGGCTACGTGCATCCCAGGGGCTCTCGAGCGTGCCAGGCATCTTGAAATTGCAGGGGTCCTTAAGGGAGGTTTAGGGTTTAGGGGGCGGGGGTTCAAGGGGACTACATATCCCATCCCTCCCCCCCCCCCCCCCTCGCCTGTGGTTCATGGTTCCCCCCCCCCCCCGGTTCATGGTCTGTGGTTCATGGGTTTAGGGTTTGGGTTAGGGGTTAGGCTGTAGAGTTCAGGATGTTCACTCTGACAAATGGTAAGTTTATGGTTTCCCCTCTCCCCGCTGTGGTTCGTGCTGGGTTTACGGTTCAGGCTTAAAGCGGTGAAGGTTTTGGGTTTACCCTTCTCCCCCCTGTGCTTCATTGGCGGGTTTAGGTTTTAGGGCTTAGGGTTCAGGGTTTTGGGTTTCTCTCTCCCCCCCCCCTGTGGTCCGTGGTTTTTTTAGGGTTAACGGGCAGGGTTGGGGGAGGGGGGATACCTTTGGGGGGGTGGGGGTCGACTCTGCGAAATGCGGGCGCATATATGTCCCTAAACCCTAGGGGTTCCCCCCCTCCCTCCTTCCTTAAGAACCCTCCCCAAACTCCCTAAACCCGAGGGGTTCCCCCTCCCTCCCTCCTTAAGAACCCTATAATGAACGATGGGATAAACGGTTCCGCAATTTCAGGTCTCTACGGGGTGATTCCCACAATTTGCTTAAGAACAACCCCCCCAGAAGTGAAGGATAGCAATCCCTCTGTTGCCATTACAAAGCACGTATTTTCAATGATCTTGGGGGGATTCTGAAGCAAGTAGTAGTTTAGGGATGAGTGTTAGGGTGTTCAGAGCTTCCTGGTCAAGATTTGGTATCTTGGGTCTTTCTGACGTCCATCCTTTCTCGTCTTGGTTTAGGACCTTAGAGGGTTTAGGGTCTGAGACTTCGGGTTTAGGGTCTTGTAGGGTCTAGGATCTAGGGCCCCCCCGCGCGAGCCCAGGCGTCTCCGGTGTTCCGGGCGTCCTCGGACCGGGTCAGGGAATGATGGGGGCCGAACCGCTCCCGAACAGCGGCTGTGGCTCCTGTAGGTACCCAGCACCGCAGCTGTCACCACCGCCACTCCCTTGGCAATCGCAGGCCTGGGCTTTCGCAATTGTCTGTTGAATTCAGAAAAGCCCCCACACCAAAAAACCCTATAAGACATATCCAAGACTTCATGCCTGGTGCGCAAGAAATGCCCCCAAGTTAAGCCCTAAACCCTAAACCCTAAACCCTAAATTTAAACATAAACCCTAAACCCTAAACCCAAACCCTAAACCCTGCAGGCAGTGCAGCCGGTACAGCCGCAGCTGTCCCAGCTGTCGCAGCTCTCGCAGCCCTGGAGCTTGCCAATGGGAGGCCCACAGACGCTTGGTAGCCCAGTGGTACCCTTTTAGGGGTTTAGGGTTTAGGGTATAGGGTTTTAGGGTTTAGGGTTTAGGGCTAGTCCGGCAGAGCTCGCGGGGTCAAAAAGGGCTAGTGGTGCCCTTTTTACCTCTTTTTTTTGGGTTCAAGGTTGCCTTGTAAAGTAACCACCCCCAAAAAGGGTGCCCTTGTTGTAATATGGTCACCGGGCTACCAAGGATGCAGGCCAACAGCCCTAGCCTTCCCCGGCAGCTTCCACAAGCACCAACCCTAGCGTCTTGGCTTTGAGAGTTTCTTTCTGTTTTGGGGTTAGCATTTAGGGTTTAGGTTTAGGGTTTAGGGTTTAGGGTTCTTTTACTTTGTGCCATGCGCAACTGTTGAACTGTTCGGATGAATTTCGAGTCCCATGACCTGGCTGGAGCTTGGACATTTTACATGTTCCGTTTTTTTGGGTTTAAGAGGATCACTACTGGATTTAGGGTTTCGGGTTTAGGGTTTAGGGTTTAGGGTTCATCCTAGTCCTGCTCGAGGACCTTCCTCGTGCAGACCTTGTACCGCCACCACAGGACCTGGCAGGTGTCGTGGCTGCTGCGGGCCCCGCGCCAGTGCTACAAAAGCCTGGCAGTCACTGGGCTTCTTCTATGAGCTACTTCTTGTGTGCCTCACGAAACGACCATCCTTTTTACACCTTTTTTTATAACCCTCGACCTTACACCCTAACCCCCATGCCATCGAATGGTGGCAAGTGGTGTTAATCGTCATTCTGAAGCCCCCAGGCCAACCGCAGGAGGAGACAGGACGTTACCCGCGGAAGCTTGGATGCGTTCTGGATCTCTACTTGAGCTGCGCCTTAATTCCTAGTTGCTTAAGAACCCCCCCAAAACAAAACTAAAGAAAGCGCCCTCATAAAAGTGCAATATAGGGATGATTATGTGTTTAGTATTATTAGTATTTTTTTTTTTTTGGGGGGGGGGGGGTCTTAAGTTAGTAGTTAAGCAAGGTTTTAGCCGCAGCTGCTTGAATCTTGCCTACAAGTCCCCCTCCCCCCCCCAACCCTAAACTCCAAACCCCAAACCCGAAACCCTAACCTTTCCTCCCTGCATCACATAAGCCCGTCAAGCAGAACCAACCCCAAGCACCCTCCTTTCTGCTATTTCCTTAAGAACCCCTCAAAAAACAAAAGATGAGATTCCTCTTTTACCCTTATAAGGAAGGTTTGTTTATGTTTGGGGGGGGGGGTTCTTCATAGTAGCAAGCCCTAAGCCCCACGCCCTGAAAACCGTAAACCTTAAACCCTCGGGGTAGCAAACTCTAAGCCCCAAAAACCGTAAACCTTAAACCCTCGGGGTAGCAAACCCTAAGCCCCAAAAACCGTAAACCTTAAACCCTCGGGGTAGCTTTCGCGAAGAGCTGCTGGAGTCGCCCCACCCCCCAGGGTTTAGGGTTTAGGGTTTAGGGTTTAGGGTTTAGGGTTTAGGGTTTAGGGTTTAGGGTTTAGGGTTTAGGGTTTAGGGGGTTTAAGGGGGGTTTAAGGGGGGTTTAGGGTTTAGGGTTTAGGGGCTTACGGGTGTGGGAGCGAGGGCTTTTGGCTCCTAAACGCTCAAGCGGTTATATAAAAAAGGTTTAGGGTTAAACCCTAAAGCCTAAAAGCAGCAGCTAGGGTTTAGGGTCCACCTTCATGACTGATTGCTATCCACGTGCAGCCCTGAATCCGAAATCCTCCGTCCAGGAAGCCATCCAAGAAGTTGAGCTCACCACGTGAGGCGGCGATGCTCAGTGTTGAAGGTCTGTAGTTGTCGGGTCTAGTCTGTTGAGCTGGGAACTTTGAGGTTTGGGGTTGTTGAGCGTGCGGTATGCAGGTGCTTTAGGGGCGTCGGGGGTTTAGGCGTCAGTGTTCGGCGGTTTAGATACAGCCTAGAACAAGGGCCAAAAACCCGTAGTCGGCCCCTATATTTATCCATGACTTAGGCTTCAGGAGGGTGCAGGGGCCAAGTGGTTTTGGTCGGGCTCATGGTCGAAGAGGAATAGTTTAGGGGTTTGGGTTTCAGGACATAGGGGGCAGCTCGGATTCAGAAAGGGCACCAAGGGGGTGGGGGGGTGGGGGGGGCGGGGGTTCGCGTGAAGCCTATATAAACGGGCCTAAGCCTTGTCTAGAGTCTAGTCCCTGAAACTGAAGGCATGATAGGGCAGAGCCAGATGTGCTTGGAGGATCGGGGGATTTAGCAAGTAGAAGCAGACATGAAGTCATTCGGTTACCAGAGGCTAAAGCAGACCCTTCATGGGGCTACCCTATTTAATATCCCTACTCGCCACTTAAGCAGTTCCGTAGGGTTCAACTGCGGGTTCTTGGTTTCAGACCGGGTGGGTGCCCAAAATACTGTAGCCTTCTCCTATCGCCCGCGATGGAGGCTCCTGTCTACCGAGGCCCGCAACCCTAAATCCTAAACCCTACTCGACACATAGTAAAAAGTTCCTGAAGCGCTCAACCCTGTAGATCAGTGGCTGCCCCGACCCCTTCTGAAGATCTGAGCACCCCAACTCAAAGTCATATGAAGGTCATCGGGTGCTGAGAATCACTATTGTTCTTGCTACTCTTCTTGTGTGTGTGTGTGTATGTGTGTCTCTCTCTCTCTCTCTGTGTTTTTTCTCTGGGGTGTGGTTACCATAATGCATCCGAGACCATGAACCTGTCCTCGGTGCTTGAAGGGGTCCCAGAAGAAAAGCAGAGCAACACTGCAACCTACAACCCCTCAACCCTCACAAAACACACCCTCGACCCGAAACCTCATAACGCATCTGCCGGTTTGGGTTTAGGGTGTAGGGTTGAGTAGTTTAGGGTGTAGGGTTTAGGGTTTAGGGTGTAGGGTTTGGGGTTTAGGGTGTAGGGTTTGGGGTTGGTCGAATGCCCAGGTGCCACCAGCAGGGCTGTCCGCATCGTCGGGCAGCAAAGACATCACCCTAACATCTGAGCCGCTGGTTCCCAATGTTGGGGAGCCTCGGCCGCGGTTGCCGCTTGCGTGTTGGAAGAGAGGGAGGGAGGGAGGGAGGGAGAGGGAGAGAGGGAGGGAGAGAGAGGGAGAGAGAGGGAGAGGGAGGGAGGGAGGGAGGGAGGGAGGGAGAGAGAATTACCCTAACTACCCTAACCACCCTAACCAGCTTGACTACCCTACCTACCCTACCTACCCTAACTACCCTAACTACCCTAACTACCCTAACTAAACTGCCCTTCCTACCCCAACTGCCCTAACTACCCTAGCTACCCTAGCTACCCTAACTACCCTACCCCAACTATCCTAACTACCCTACCCTCCCCCCCCACACCGCAAGCAGCTCAGGAGGAAGACGACGACCTTTTTGATTTCCAGTGGCCTGAGGGGGTTCCAAGGATGGCGCGGCCGAAGATTGGGGGGGGGGGGGGCTTTTTTGTAAGGGTCGGGAGCAGTACTACTTGTATTCCCTTATGGTTACTCGTTTGTTATCGTATAATTACTATATTACCCCCCCCCCCCGGACAAATAAAAAAAAAAACTATTCTAGTTATTCATGCCTCTAGACTAGAGCGGTTGAGGGTTTTGAGTTTTTGTGCTGAGGCTGGGGTGCTTTGAGGCGGGGAGGGGGCTATGTAGGACCAGGAACGTGAAGCTTTCGGGAGTTACATGTTGGGTTGTTTCTGCATGTAGCTGTCCGGAATATCGCGAGTTTCCCGCTCGATGGCCTGAGGCGTAGACTGAAATCGTGTCCCCTAACCCCAAACCCCAAACCCTATGCATGCGCAAGCCCCAAATCCCTGAACTACCTGAGGCCAGAGCAGGTGGGTTCTGGTCGCCTTCGGCAGGGCTGCGTTCGGCTAAATACATACGCATAAACATACACATACACATGTTTGCAGGTTTTCGGGTTTAGCGTTCAGGGTTTGACATAGACCTCCACAGCCCAAACTCCTCCTTCCCCCCTAAACCCTATAAACCCTAAACCCTAAACCCTAAACCCTAAACCCTAAGCAGGACTGCCCTGCACCCCCGTGGACTCTCTGCCTCGGCGGGTCTTACTGCCTCTGCCAACCTCATGGGCAGCCGTAGCTGTGGAGAAGACCTGTTCACCGAGTTGAAGCAGGAGCTGGGGAGGGTTTAGGGTTTAGGGCTTATAGGGTTTAGTGGTTAGGGTTTAGGGTTTATAGGGTTTAGGGTTTAGGGTTTAGGGTTTAGGGTTTAGGGTTTAGGGTTTAGGGTTTAGGGTTTAGGGTTTAGGGTTTAGGGTTTAGGGTTTAGGGTTTGGGTTCACAAGGTTGCAAGAAGTGACAGGTGCCGGCTTGGAGCTCAGCCCGGGTTCAAGAGGGGTCAGGGCTTCAAGGGTCAGAAAAGTTACCACGTCACCACAGGGGCCTATATCCTAGGGTTTAGGGTTTATGGTTTAGGGTTTAGGGTTTAGGGAGGCCTCAACACTGAGCAAGGGTGTCACCGAAAAATGGAAAAGTAAACTACCCCCAAAACACCCATTCTCAAATGAGCAGGCTCCTATGTTGCAGCACTCATGCGCTTTTCTAGGTAGGTTCTTGGGACATCTTGTATTTCCCCCTATTGGGTTTAAGAGGATCATGTTCAGGAATACTTTTTTCCGACGGTGTTAAGGGCCATCCTGGTTTTTTCTCACCCGAAGGAGTTACAGCTAAGGGACCCTAAACCCTAAACCCTAAACCCTAAACCCTAAACCCTAAACCCGAAGGAGTTGCAGCATCCTATGAATGCTGGCTTTGCTACGCCGACGCAGTCGACGGACCTTAGCTTCTTGACGCAGATGCGGCAGAAGCTTCTGCTGAGCCAGGACGCGCGCGCCGGAGAGTACGTTTAGGGTTCAGGGCTCAGGGCTCAGGGCTCAGGGCTCAGGGTTTAGGGTTTAGGGTCTAGGGTTTAGGGTTTAGGGTTTAGGGTTTAGGGTTTAGGGCACCCTAAATTCTTCCTCATGCCTGCTCCAAGCAGGCAGACTTCGGTGCGCAGCAGAACTAGACATGCGGACCAAAATCGTCAACAGCAGAGCAACACAGACGCGATCATGTCTGCGTAAAGTTGGTGCTCGTGCTCGTACTGTTCTTCTGATGGGTTCTGGGGCAAATTGGGACATGGTTCGGGCCGGTCTTTGGGAGACTCCTCGCGTGACTTGAATCGGGCCCTCGGGCTCTCCATGTGAGAAGTCCTTGGATCGCAGCCACTTAACCCTAAACCCGAAACCCTAAACCCTAAACCCTAAACAGGACATGCATGGCTTGGAGGATGGCCTACAACTGACTGAAATTTCCCGAAGAGTTTCACCCGGCACAGCGGAGTAATGTTGCAGAGCAACAAGACCTCGGAGCGGAGTAGCCGCCTGCCTGCAGCAGGAAACCTACATGCAACGCAACAAACGCACAGTGCGTGTAGATGTGTCGAATGATTTGTCACCAGGATGAGGGGCTTCCGAAAAAAAAAGGGCCTGAACGTTCCTAAACCCTAAACCCTAAACCCTAAACCCTAAACCCTCCAAGAAGGCTCTCAGCAAGAACACGGTTTTGGAAGCTCACGTCTGAAAGGATTGCGAAAGATCTTGGTAGCCCAGTGGTACCCTTTACCTGTTCTTTTTTTTGGTTCGGGTTTAGGGTTTAGGGTTTAGGGTTTAGGGTTTAGGGTTTAGGGTTTAGGGTTTAGGGTTTAGGGTTTAGGGTTTAGGGTTTAGGGTTTAGGGTTTAGGGTTTAGGGTTTAGGGTTTAGGGTGGGTTTCCCTTATAAAATCACCAACCCCCCAAAAAAGGGTGTCCTTGTTATGAGATGGTTACTGGGCTACCAAGAGATTGCCTCGGTTCCAGCAGCCTTTTTTTATCGAGTCTCTGCGGAGTTTCTCCTTTAAAAGCGGTGCCAGGAAAGAGTTTGCAGAGCCCGAGCGGCGAGCCTAGCAAAGCCCGAGAGTAGCCACAGAACTTCGGATGGTTGAGGGTAGAGTGTTTCGGGTTTTTTGGGGGCCCTAAACCCTAAACCCTAAACCCTAAGCCCATGTAGGTGGCCTGCCGTCTTTCTTGCCTCCTCTAACGCTGTTTTGAAGCTGTCTGCGAAGTTTCGGGTGGTCTTCTTGCATCCACACCTTACTTGAAGGTTCAGGGTTTAGGGTTTAGGCTTTGGGGTTTAGGGTTGAGGGATACTTGCAGGTTTATGTCATGGGTAGTTACAGGGTTATAAGTGCCTCATCTTTTGGCTGTCTTACTTATAACGCTACTTATGGCTACCCATCAACCTTCAGGTATCAGCCCAAAAGGCTGCTGTAAAAATTCTTCCCCCACACAGTATTCCGTACATCCCCCCCCCCCCCCCCCCCCCCCCCCCCCTCGAAGCCTGGCGTACACAACTAAAAGACATGGACAGTTCACCAAACCCTAAACCCTAAACCCTAAACCCGAAACAAAATCAGAAGTGGTCTTGGGTACGCTGAGTGCACCAGCGGGCCTATGGTTTAGATCAGCTGCCACAATGGAGGGCTCCTTCAGTTCAGGGCATAGGGCCTCTTTTTGTGTGGGTACGATGCACACAAACCCTAAGTAAGCCGTAAGCCCTAAACCCTAAACCCTAAGCCCTAAACCCTAAACCCTAAACCCTAAACCCTAAACCCTAAACCCTAAACCCTAACCCCTAACCCCTAAACCCTAAACCCTAAACCCCCTTCCTTTTTCAGCCAAAAGCCGAAAACTCGCAGAGAGGCCGGTCGCCAGCTGCGTGAGCGAGTCCTGCGTGGCATCTTCGGCCCATGCCAATGATGTCCCCGTCAAGAAGTGCAAAGAAGCCTGCCAGGAGAGGGTTTAGGGTTTAGGGTTTAGGGTTTAGGGTTTAGGGAGCGCCTCAGGAAGGTTTCTGAAATTAGGGGTACTTAGAGGTTCATGGTACCTTATTAACCAATTATGACTGCACTTACCACTTATGAGCCCCTTAAGTGTGGTTGTAAGCACAGGTATAATTACAGTTTATAATTGGCTATAATAGGTACCATGAACCTCCAAGTACCTTCTTGGGGTCCTTTTTTATAAGGGAGTCCTAGTATTCGGGTCCCTTGTTTTCATAAACCCCCAGGAGAGCCCCAGGAATTCCTGAACCGGAAGCCCTCAACTTGCTAAACTGCCCTGCGTTCCAAGCGCCTCAGGAAAATCCGGAACCGTGAGCCCGAAACTGCTCTGCTTGGTAAGAGCTCCACGAGAGCAACCCTAAACCTGAGCCCTGAGAACCCTGAACCCTAAACCCTAAACCCTAAACCCTAAACCAAGCAGGATGTTGAGTGCCTCAAGAAGTGCGAGAAGTTCACCAGCAAAGAGCTACCCTCTGCAATCGCCGCATCCCAAGAGCCGCGTGCGACTTGAATCCCTTCACCTCTTATATAGACGGACCGCGGTTTAGGGTTTAGGGTTTAGGGGTTTTGGGTTTAGGGTTTTTTGGGTTTAGGGTTTAGGGTTTATCTACCCAAGATCCTGTATCCTCTATCTCATATATCTTGTACCTGTTTCTCTATATAGTAATATAGTAACCATACCTGTATGTCTGTGAGTCCTGTCGGCAAGCGAAGCCCAAAAATCTGACTTGATACATTCCAAGAGATCATCGCAGAAACCTGACATCTCCTAAACCCTAAACCCTAAACAGTAAAGACCCCAGAGCCTCCAACCCAGGCAGTTTCCCTTGCAAGCTCCCGGACCCCAGGACCCCAAGCCATAAAACAAAGCCAGAACCCCGAAGGGCCCAAAACCTCCCTAAACCCCAAGCCCTAAACCCTAACCCTAAACCCTAAACCCCAAACCCTAAACCCTAAACCCTTGTGAGGGTCGCAACTTTTGCCCTTCAACCCCTCAGGGCTCGTCTGGCTCGTCCTACAGCCTCCGCTGGCTTCGTCCTGACCTTCAGGCAGACCTGGAACAGGGTTACCCTAAACCCTACACCTAAAACCTAAAACCTAAACCCTAAACCCTAAACCCTAAACCCAGGGTTTAGGGTGTAGTAGGGTGTAGGGTTTAGGGCGGCGCGAGCCTTGAATTTCCATGCACCTAAACAAGGGCTTGCCACATACAATAGGGGTGCTTGAAGGTTCATGGGTGGCTTTAAGCAAGGTTGGGAAGTGCCCCAACTAAGGTTATAGTATAAGTTACGTACACATGACCCTACTTATACTTACCCATGAACCTTCAAGTACGCCTTGGCGGTTCTCATAATCATAAGTCGCACAAAAACTCTTTGGCACCCCTATTTCTGGGGGAAGCCCAGAAGTTGGAAGTTGCAAATACCCGAAACAGTCGGCGGTGCAAAGTTCTGAGACTAAACCCTAAACCCTAAACCCTCAACCCTAAACCCTAAACCCTAAACCCTAAACCCTCAACCCTCAACCCTCAACCCTCAACCCTCAACCCTCAACCCTCAACCCTCAAACCCTCAACCCTCAACCCTCAACCCTCAACCCTCAACCCTCAACCCTCAACCCTCAACCCTCAACCCTCAACCCTCAACCCTCAACCCTCAACCCTCAACCCTAAACCCTAAACCCTAAACCCTAAACCCTAAACCCTAAACCCTAAACCCTAAACCCTAAACCCTAAACCCTAAACCCTAAACCCTACCCCCCCTAGCAAAAACTCCTGAAGCCCGCTGTAGGCTGCGGGGCTGAACTGCAGTGGCCTGGAGTCGCGGCAGGAGGTTGGGGGGGGTTGGGGGGGGGGGGGGGGAACCCTAAACCCTAAACCCTAAACCGGAAGAGGGGAGGGGCTGCCTAGAGTAACCCTCAGCCCTGAGCTACACATGCACCCAGTTCTAAAGGCAAATGGGCTTCTGCCAGTAGGAGGCTTCAGGTGAGGGTTCGGGGGGTTCCGGGTTTAGGGTTTAAAATGGCTACGGCTCAAGTTTGGCTACGAGACCCAAATGGGTAAACATTAATTCGTGATCTGCCTCGAGCTGCAATGGATGCTAAACTGGCTGCGTGTTTAGGCTACTCTGTCAGATTGGCAACACGATGTGGATATATGGAGCTCCTACCACATCTTCAACAGGCTTTGTTTGCACTTGTTTCCTGTGATGCACATGTTGATTCGGCGGAAGTCCCCCAAGAATCCCGCAGGCGAAGAACAATCTCTTTGTTTCAGGCTCTTCATCCTGATGGCAGTGATGTACCAAATGCTCAATATGCTCAGGAGGTGAAACTCGTTGACGCCCCGCAGCGACTCCTTGCAGATGCGGAGGCGCAGACATGTGAGGACATCATTTCTGCAGGTGAGTGCACCATGATTGTGGACAAGATTATGGATCAAGCGAAGGCATCTGCGGTGGCACTTGAAGAACGCTTGCGCCAACTGGAGGCCAACACATCGGATCACTTCTTGCCCACGGCCAGCTCCATTGATTCACCTGGCACTGCGGCGTGTTCTTCAGTTCCTCATGGCCTGACGATGGCATGTGACGTTCACAGGCCACAAGCCTCACGATGCCCAGGCGTGCGTGCTAGGATTCCTGACCATGACCTTGCGAGTTTGAAAGCCCAACACATCGAGCTCCGCCGAGCAATGAAAGCACAGCGAAGACTGGAACGACAAGCCCGTGAACAGCAAGGGCTGCCTAGTCACAGATTGAACTTGTGAAGGAGGTCTTGCGTAATTCTTCCGATCAGTTGCATGCTTTTGCTTGATTTCTCATGAATAGCTTGAGGGATCCCTGCTTCTCTTGAAAACCTTGAGATGGTTGCTCCAATTATCAGATGCAAGTCACTGCGATTTCCTGACCATTCCCGGCCGACTCCCCAAGCCCGGATGCAAAAGGGTTTAGGGTTGAGGCGCTGAGGGTTCGGGGAACAAGGTTTGAGGGTTCGGTTTTTCGGGTCTACGCCCGGAGTGACGGTTAGGGCTTCGGGTTTAGGATAGGGTTCATAGCATGGGTTCATCGGGTTTTAGCGTGCTTAGGGTTGAGGGTTTAGGGTTTAGTGTTCAAGGAACGAAAGGAGGGACCCTTATAAGGGACCTTAGGGGTTATTTTGGGGTTATTTGCGGGCTAGTTAGGTATGTAGGGACTATATAAGGTATATAGAGGTTACCTGGGGGAATAAGATTAAGGGCCCCTTCTAGGGTTCCCTCCTTTTGCCCGTTCAGGGTTGCCCTGATCCCAATCTCAGGCCTACAAGCAGGGTGCCCGCCGCCTTGGCTACAAGACGAAGACAATGTATCCCGGCACCTGCTGTCTGCTGGGACAGTTTGGGGGAAGCTACTCATAAAGCCCTAAACCCCATGGAGCTAAACCCGAAACCTTGACACAAGTAGGCTACAGTCGACTTGAGGTGTCCACT